TCTAAACCATAAAGAAAGCATTACACTTCATATCCAGGGATATTGGATATCTGGATTCACAACAGCCTATACATTACAACCTGTATACATGGAAATGTATTTTCAAACGTATAGGTTATTTAGATAGTGTGTCTTTAAAAAACTGCTAATTTTACTGTATTCATGGTTGCATATACTGTATAGATGTATGAGGTATTATGTATGGAAGAGAAGTGCCCCCAGGAGTATACAATATCTCAGTCTTATCAGGTTTCTGCCAACCTTAGATAAAATATAACATCAACTCAATATTCTGTTGGGTTTCTCAGGTTACAATGGCCTTTCAAACCACAAGGTCATCTGAAGTCTCATTGCGAACATACAGTAGTCCTGTGCATTGTACATAATATGTCTGTCTTCCACAAATAAAGGTGTGTATTTGTATATGTGTGTGTGTTTGCAAGAATGAAGACAAATAAACCAGGAAAATCCACAAATAGCGAAATTAAGAAAATCATCTTTATTTTGTCGTCTCACCTTGTAAAAAAGGGCTCGGATTGCAGTTTGCTCTTCATAGAAGACACTCAAATCTTAACTAAAATGTGAAGAAAAAAAAAACTAAACATACAAAACAACAAATCTTTTTTTCTGTGAACTGATTGTAATAAACTCTAAATCTGGGAACACCAGCTTTATACAACAAGGTTCCAGACATAAGGGTTAACACCCCTGGAATAATCATTGCATTGCTGAATAACTTGCGTAGACCAGAAATAATATTTAACTGTCATTTAAGGCATATTTGTCACGGTTTCGGCCGAGGCTGCTCCTCCTCCTTGCTCGGGCAGGCTTCGGCGGTCATCGTCCCCGGAGTACTAGCTGCCACCGTTGTATGTTTCGATGTTCGTTTGGTTTTGTCTAGTTGTTGTACACCTGTTCCCTGTTAGTGTGATTATGTACCCTTTATATGTTCCATTAGTTTGTCATGTGTTGTGTGTAATTGTTTTCACCTGTCGTTTGGTGCAGTGCTGTTTGCCAGTCGCTCATTTTGTACCGTCGCACTGTTGTTTTGTGCGCAGTCGGTTTTGGAGTGTTTTACACACTGTGGTGTATTGTTCGCCTCCGGGTTGGTTAGACCCGTTTTGTTATTTTGGTTTATGCAAGTAAAGTCTGGTTTAACTTAGCTCCTGTGTCCTGCATTTGATTCACACCACATCCGCATCAGAGTTCGCGACAATATTGAGTATCAAATGTGTGTGTAAAGTAATAAAGTAATTATTAACAATGATTTCAGTTAATTCTCCCATACACTTTTTAAAACAAAACATAATGTATATTTTTTTGTGATATTTGTAACACACTTCTACTGTAAATGTACTTTAGTGTTCCCTGATATGACTTGTGTGATTGGAAAATGAAATGATCTAAATGTCATATATCTAACCAACAGATAATAAACATATTACACAATAAAAAGAAAAGTAATGAATTTAAATTGCATTGATAATAACATTGAATTCATTTATGCTATTTGTTTGATGTACAGATGATAAAAATTTGATGTTTTATAACTTAAAGAAAAATACAGGGGAACCTGTACTAAAGAGATTCAATTATTCTTCATAGAGCTATAAGCAACAGCAATTTGAGTTCATCTACACCTGTAAATATATATATATATTTTTTATAGTTCAGCCATGTAAAAATTAAGAGGTTTTTCAGAATGTTTCAAATAATCCAAATGGATGCCAACACATGTCTGGACCTCTAAAAAACATCAATATTTAACTGAAACACCTAAAGCAGAGTATTTTCTGCGCTAAAACAAAAACCTCTATTCAAACAAAAACCAGCTTTAAGCCTCTTCTCATTGATGGAGGGCCTCACCTGGTTAAGTGCTCAGCAGACAGTCTAAATAACTGCACACCTGGTTGGTCAGCAGCATCCGCCAATCAGCCGATGCAGTCAGCCGATGCTGTTTGGAGCATGCTCGGTGGAGTGAGGTGAGGTGAGGCGGTAGTCTTAGTGTTGGTCCCAAGATTCCTTTTTATTGCCGTTTAAGACTGAAGAAGCGGGGACAGGGGTACAGGGGGAAGGAGTGGGGTGAGAGAGTCCCCATACCAGAACAAGAAGGGGAGAGGGGATAGAAATCTCCCTCCCTCACCCCCTCCCAATTCAATCCCAATCTGAGAGGTAAACCACCAGCTACAGGTGTGTGTGCGTGTATGTGTGTGTGTGTGTGTGTGTGTGTGTGTGTGTGTGTGTGTGTGTGTGTGTGTGTGTGTGTGTGTGTGTATATGTTTGGAGCAGGTGTCTTGTTTGTTCAGTAATCAGGGTCAGATTGTTTAACTGAAGCAGACTCAGCTCTACTATTAACTACCAAGGCACCTACACTTCCTGATCCCACCCTCCTCATCTCACTCTCCCCCAATCTCTCCCCATCCTCCCTCAGCCCACTTCTCCATTCTTTACCAACCTTTCTCCCTCTCCCCTTATGTTATCCCTCACTCACTTTTCCCCTTTTCCCAAATACAGTATCTACCCCATCCCACCCTCTCTCTTCCCCCATCCTCCATTGAAATCCATAATTATATGTCTTTTCTCTTTCAATACCATCCTTTGTCCTCTCTCTTCCACTTCCTCCCTTTGCTCCGTTCACCGTCACTCCCTCTAGAATTTCTTGTCCAACTTTCTAAAAGTTTATTCGTCTAATAAACAGGAGCTAGATGATGCCAATCTTCCCCATTTGTCTGGGATGGAGGCCTGCAGATTCCCCATAATGTATATTGCTGAATTTATTTACACAACAGATGGCATGGAATACAGACACAGCTTGACTTTAGGCCACTGGTGATGTGAAAAAGGTGTGAAAACGTCTGACAGACTTTGATTTGGTAGAAAGCTATTGCCTTAACGTCCCCAGATGTAAGCCTTCTTCAGATAGTGTGATCATGTTCTATAGAGGAAGAACTCTAATCCAATTCCATGCTGGCTCTCTCAGTGTAAGAGGAGACACAGGCAGCATGAGACAGCGATTCAGCTCCCCTTCCTGAGAGGGATGGTGAACACTCAGGATGAATGGATTCTCAGTTGTTAGAAATCATCTGGAGGAGCGAGAGAGGAGCGACAGAGTAGAGACAGAGAGAGAGAGAAAGAGAGGAGCAAGACCTTTGAGTCTATGAAGATCACAAACGCAGGAAATGGGATGTTCACTATCAAACGTGTCACATTTAAAGGGGATGAAAGTGGAGAGAGAGAGTTAGAGAGAGTTCTTTGAACCGTCTCATGTGAGGTGTGACTGAGTGAGGTGATTTAAGTTTGTGTCTAGCTTTAATTCTACACATAAAGGAATTCTCATAATCTCAGGTTTGCCACAGTTCTGAGATCATTTAATAAAACCTTGACCCCTGCTTATATTGGGGTACATAAGGGAGTTTCTGAAAAGCCTTTCAAACCAGACATCAAGAAGTTCACTTAAAGCAAACACACCGTGGCTTATAGATGCACCAAGTCTGGAACCAACTGGAACTTGAACATCTTCTATCCCCAAGCCTATAAGACTGCTAAATAGTTTGTTAAATAGGTAACCAATAGCTACCAAGACTATCTGCATTGACCCTCATTTGACTCATCACATATTCTGCTGTTACTGTTTATTATCTATCCTGTTGCCTATTCACTTTATCCCTACCTATATGTACATATCTAACTCAATTACCTCGTACCCCTGCACATCCACTCGGTACTGGTACCACGTGTATATAGCCAAGTTATCGTTAGTCATTGTGTATTTATTATTTTTCTATTATTCCTCT